GCTGGTTATAACCACCAGGAGACTGGTAGTTATATGGAAGGGATGTCCCATAGGGACTTTCTGTTTTTACACCAGGACTTCTCCTGTATGTCCTGAGGTCTTCGCGGTCATCTCTGTAGGATTGTGGAGCCTCTCGGTATGCAGATGGAGGCTCTTTATCAGATCTTGTTTTACTTCGGTGCCCTTTTGAATCCCTTTTATCTGCAGATTGTGTGGCCTGAGATGTGGATGTTCTCTTACCATTTCTGTCACTGCTCCTTGTGGTGTCTCTGTGATTTTTAGAGCCACTGAGACTAGCTCCACTTTTAGCTTTTGAGGAGTCTCTCTCGCGGCTCTGGCGGTCCTTTTTCCTGCCTGGCTCCTTCTCTTGCTTGCCCCTCTCTGATGGTCCCCTTGTCGGTTCGTCCTTGCTTATGCCCACTGCCTCCCGGTCTCTAGGGTGACTTCGGTCTGTGGTTCCTGGTCCATTAAACTCACCAAAGTCAACATCGCTGAGTCGGTCTACTGAGAGCCTGTCAGCACGGGGGTCGAGTTTGGGAGAGGGGCTCCCAGAGAAACGCTCTGACTGAGAGCTAACGTCGTCATACTCTACTAATGTCCGAAGTTCAGCGTCTTTATCAAAAGTCCCCTTTCGGTCATTATAAGGGTCTCCTGTTGTACCGGCATGCAACAAGTCTTTTCCCTTGGCCTGTCTGCGTTTCTTTTTCCTAGAAGCCGATGACCGCCTCTTCTCTCGGTGTCTGTCTCGCTGAGCAGCACCGCTCCCCGGCTTGCTACGCCTGTCCTGTCGGTTAGCATTTTTCTGAGCAGAGGGGCTCCGTCCCCGACCCTCCCGAAGCACCTCTGAATTAGGCATTTATCCTCAATAAAACACTATGCCTAAGTTGAGAATTATCTTTATATTATATACTTTTCCTATGTTTCTTGTTGTGTCGTGGAAAAAAACATTGGGCTAGCTATGTCACAGGCTAGTTGGCTAACGTTACAGCCAATTCACAATTACGACAGCTAGCTAACGTTAGCTAAATCACAAGCTTAACATTAGCATTACACAGCTAGCTAGTTTGAGGTTCAATACAAAGTGAGTTACCCCTGACGGTAGTTAATCCATTACACTTGGTGCCTGTAGATTCCGTCACATACAATCCACATATGGTGTTTAGTTATAGAGTCAGTCAGTACTCAACCATAAACGTAAATATCCAAGATTTGCTAGCTAATGGCAGTCGGTTTAGCCAGCTAGCCTCCAACAGCTAACTGTGTCCAACTCGACAGTGGCATTCCATTTCATGGTCAAAGCACAGGCCCAAATCATCTCTTTCTTTAAAATCCAGTTCTTCTGTAATGTTGCAGATCGTGCAAGCATGTATATCCATTTACCAGGTAGTGTTAAAGTTTAAGTTAAAAAAAACTCAATCTCCTTCTCACAAACTTCTTCTCGCCTTCCATCACACTCCAATGTGCAACAAGGAAGTGAATAGCACGCGAGTTGGCTGGATAGCCGCTGCTAGCTAACTAGCCGCTAGCACGTTAGCCAGCTCGCTTTCTTTTCTCCTTGCGTTGAGTTCAATTCAACTCAGTCAAGATGCAATACAAGAGTAAAAGCACGCCTGCTTTCACATATCCCTCCGGGTTGTAGCTCCCTCTTACTACCGCACGGTCCAAAATGTGTTAATGTGTTTCCGGGCAAAAAGGTTCTACAATTCTTTGAATTGATTTCAATATATTGTAACTTTGTTCGCAATGTGGCTAACGGTACAACTCGCCAGGGCCCAGACAGCTTTCAAACTACAGGCCTTGTGCGTCGGTGTTAACCAATAATACCCGAATGCGTAACACATCTAAGTGTCTACGTCATCGCCAAGGGAAACCCCTACTTTAAAAAAACATTTCGAAATCAATGTACAAAAGTTAGTATCTTATATTCTATCAATCAAATACTAAGACAATTAGGAAACTTGCTTTCCATACATTACATTTGGTAATACTTTGATTTGATCCTCTCATAAACATATAATTACAATAAAGGTTATGCTAGATAAAATACAAATTATCAATGAAAGAAGTAGGCTGGCTACTGGTATTATACTTAAAAAAACATATAAAATACTGAATACAAATAGCCTATCACTGATTTCCTTTCCCCCCCTGTTTTAAAAATCTGTAATTAATCCCCACATTTTAATTAAATATTAATAAACAATGTAAATTAAATATGTTTGCAGATGTAATAATAATACATTTGATTTATATAGCACACTTTAAAAACAACGTCATCTCAAGGTGCTTCACAAAGCTATAAGGAGAAAATAATAAAACAAATAAAAAATATATCTAAGGAGCATATTGAATAAAATATGCGCAGATTGAAAACTCATCTCTTTCGACTCCACTTTGAGCGATTACGAACAAAGCACTTATATACTAATAAAGGACTTATCTAAAGCCAGTTGAGTAGCACTTGAAATGTTTTGGCTCTATGAAACCTGATGTACTTTCTGATTCTGTTTTATTTTTCTTGTTTGTATCTTGTTGGTCGAACGCACTTATTGTAAGTCGCTTTGGATAAAAGCGTCAGCTAAATGCAATGTAATATACAAATGTAAAGTTCATAAAAAGGTTAAGAGCATAACATATTTAAAATAAATGAATACAGTTTAATTAAGGACAGTCAGTCAAATGCGGTGCGGAACAGGTGGGTCTTGAGGCATTTCCTAAAAACTGAGAGTGATGCAGAGGTCCATATGTTCTCTGGAAGCTGATTCCACAGACGTGGACCCAGGGAGGAGAAAGCACGGTCTCCCATGCTGACCAATTTTGAACAGCAAGGAGATGGAGCTGGCTGACCTGAGTGTGCGTGAGGTAGTGAGTGTTTTCTGGTTAGCCGTTCCTGTGGTTAAAGGCGTTGAAGACCATTATGAGGACTTTGTAGTTGATCTGGTGGGATTTGCCAATTGTATACTAATTTCTCTCTTATCCAAAATATGTCAGCAGTAGTATGCAGTTTGCACTATCTATTCTTTAACAATCAACTTCTACTGTTATAAAACAGCAACAGCTATGCAGCACAAATCATCTGTGTGGTTGTGCAAACACTGCGATAAGGGCAACGCCAAACTACACTGAACAAAAATATAAATGCAACACTTTTGTTTTTGCTCCCATTTTTCATGAGATGAACTCAAAGATCTAAAACATTTTCTATATACACAAAATAACCATTTCTCTCAATTATTGTTCACAAATCTTAAAAAATCTGTGATAGTGAGCACTTCTCCTTTGCCGAGATAATCCATCCCACCTCACATGTGTGGCATATCAAGATGCTGATTAGACAGCATGATTATTGCACAGGTGTGCCTTAGGCTGGCCACAATAAAAGGCCACTCTGAAACGTGCAGTTTTGCTTTATTGGGGGGGTCTGGGGGGGTCCGAAAGTCAGTATCTGGTGTGACCACCATTTGCCTCACGCAGTGCAAAACATCTCCTTCGCATAGAGTTGATCAGGTTGTTGATTATGGCCTGTGGAATGTTGGTCCACTCCTCTTCAATGGCTGTGCGAAGTTGCTGGATATTGGCAGGAACTGGAACACGCTGTCGTATACGCCGATCCAGAGCATCCCAAACATGCTCAATGGGTGACATGTCCGGTGAGTATGCTGGCCATGCAAGCACTGGGATGTTTTCAGCCTCCAGGAATTGTGTACAGATCCTTGCAACATGGGGCCGTGCATTATCATGCTGCAACATGAGGTGATGGTCGTGGATGAATGGCACAACAATGGGCCTCAGGATCTCATCACTGTATCTCTGTGCATTCACAATGCCATCAATAAAATGCACCTGTGTTTGTCGTCCATAACATACGCCTGCCCATACCATAACCCCACCACCACCATGGGCCACTCGATTCACAACATTGACATCAGAAAACCGCTCACCCACACGACGCCACACACGCTGTCTGCCATCTGCCCTGAACAGTGAAAACCGGGATTCATCCGTGAAGAGAACACCTCTCCAACGTGCCAGACGCCATCGAATGTGAGCATTTGCCCACTCAAGTCGGTTACGACGACGAACCGGAGTCAGGTCGAGACCCCGATGAGGACGACGAGCATGCAGATGAGCTTCCCTGAGACGGTTTCTGACAGTTTGTGCAGAAATTCTTTGGTTATGCAAACCGATTGTTGCAGCAGCTGTCCGAGTGGCTGGTCTCAGACGATCTTGGAGGTGAACATGCTGGATGTGGAGGGTCCTGGGCTGGTGTGGTTACACGTGGTCTGCGGTTGTGAGGCCGGTTGGATGTACTGCCAAATTCTCTGAAACGCTTTTGGAGACGGCTTATGGTAGAAAAATGAACATTCAATTCATGGGCAACAGCTCTGGTGGACATTCCTGCTGTCAGCATGCCAATTGCACGCTCCCTCAAAACTTGCGACAACTGTAGCATTGTGCTGTGTGATAAAACTGAACATTTTTAGAGTGGCCTTTTATTGTGGCCAGCCTAAGGCACACCTGTGCAATAATCATGCTGTCTAATCAGCATCTTGATATGCCACACCTGTGAGGTGGGATGGATTATCTCGGCAAAGGAGAAGTGCTCACTATCACAGATTTTTTCAGATTTGTGAACAATATTTGAGAGAAATGGTTATTTTGTGTATATAGAAAATGTTTTAGATCTTTGAGTTCATCTCATGAAAAATGGGAGCAAAAACAAAAGTGTTGCATTTATATTTTTGTTCAGTGTATGTGCTTGTGCATACATTATACTTCTACATACTTTGGGGTTGTCAAATGTTGCATCAAAAACTGCCTACCTAAATAACATAAACAATAACACAATAGAGTGAACATATATTTAAATTCACTTTTGTGTGATCATAGGTCAGTCACCAGGTGGTGGTATTCAGCCTGTTCCCATAAATGTGAGCAGCACAACAATCAGTCACTCCTCATTGTAATAGGTCAAGAAAACATCACACACAAAATCTGAATACATTTGGAAAATATTATTAGTAATATCCATTTTATTTGCCATTTTTCATATAACTCACAAAAAAAATTAACTGAAATGTAAGCTTCACCTCTTGCATTCACAAACAGATAGACGGGCTACATTAGTGGTTATGTTCTAAAATAGGAAGAAAACATGTTGTTGATGTCATACATACAACCATCCAATCATAGACATAGGTACATTTTCTTTCTTCCAAGGGTAGTTAAATCACAGTAAAAGCTACTTCAATACCCAGTAGGACAGTTTGCTCATAGTTTTCACACAATATCAGTTTAGTATCACCCTTGAAAATATTTGGGCCATCAAGTCTATTAACATGAAGACAAAGAAACATAATTAGTGTTTTCTTCTGAAGAGAAGTACTGAAACAAGAATTAAGACTGTGTTAAGCAAATGTTAGAGTAAGCAAGCACTATGGTGGTCACTTTACCAAAAGTAGCTTCTGTATTCTTTAACAATGCAGACACATGTAATGTCCATAAGCTAAGGAAGCCTACCAGACTGTGATTATAACTGTCAGTTTCTGCATCATTCCAACCATCAGATGTGTTTCAATCATTTATATAGTGGAGGTTAACCCTTGAGCAAATTAACCCAAATTACTTTAACATTCTATTGCCATAAGTTCACATACATATTCACTCACATATCTGTAAACTCCCAAGTCTTTCTACAGTGTGCTTTTCAGTTAACAACAAATACCAGACATTCTTTTGCATTACTGTCATTTTTGTACAATTTACACAGTGACATATAAGACAATCAAAGCCTGTAATCAAAACCAGGAACTGATAATATCAAAGGAATCAACATGATTTATTTATAAATGTAAAAATATGTTTTAACGATGTAAGGTTTTCTAAGCTGAAGTGCTTCTAGTGCACTCACTGAAACGCTTTAGAAATGTTTCCCAGTTTCATAGTCTCTTGCCCTTTGCAGTAACAATCACTCTTTTGCATAGACTCCAGCGTTGGACATCCTGTAATGTAAATGGTGAGCTGTTGTTAGCAACGCGTCACACACAAACATTTACTCTGGAGTGAAACGAGGTAACCATTTCTGAACGATGGTCAGCCTTTGAAAAATAAATTACTTTAAATAAGTTAAAAGAAAAAGAGTGTCTCAGTCATAAAGGGAAAGTAAGAGAGTTGAGGGGCATATTTCACAGTGCGGTTTGGTCTATGCAATTTTAGGTGTTAATTACGGATGAATTTCTTATGTTGCCAATGTTTACACTGCTAAAATAATAGTACACGAGCTACAAGAGGAATTTCATGAAGATGCTACTACAGCTTTATAACAACTGGAAGCCTTGCACAAAATGTAACAAAGGTAAACAAAGTAGACCGTCAACGACCTCCAAACTCTGCACATCATGGCAGGCTAAGATTACAGGCAAACAGGAAGGGCATGGGGGGGTGGGGGGGGGGGGTCACATTCACAATGGACAGAGGCAACAGTGATGCACTGTACATGAATTACTGAATCCCTCGTTACTTTGCAATTTTCCCCCCAGGTCCTTCGCAATTCAATTCAATAAGTTCCTCTTTGCCAAAGACAAAAACACTGCTGTGCTTCCCCTTCGCGCTCACGATAGCAAGTTGCCCTTCAGTTCCATTAATAAGTGGGCACTTGTTTGTACTAGCTAGCACTTCTCTTTGGTGACTGAGAGCTGACCACCTTTCTGCTACAAAGCTTGCATTCATTTTGTGTATGCCTTAAAATGCATAATTCCACTAAGTTATCTCAACACAAGTCCGTATTGAGAAAATGTTTGGGATTAAAAGTCTGGGCCAGGAAAAGTAAAATTGGCAAAATAAATCTTTACATGACTGGTAGCAATTTATTTGATCAACTTTAGGTTGCGTTTAAAAACATCATGTAGTGTTATGGAATCGCCTTTTATCAGAGCACCAGGCATTCCTTGATCGCAAACAAAAAAGGCAATGAAGTTAAACTTCTGTTGAAAGAAGTTTAAGTGTTCCCTCACAGATTTTAGGGTAATGATCAGTTGTGCATTTGAAGACTCAAAGTGACACAAAGGGGAAAGAAAGATGAAACATTAATGTGCTCATCTTACACTGGTTGATAGAGAACATGAAAGGAAGGGGAGAGTTTGACTTCACAGCTAAAAATGTGGTCATAACCTTACCACATAATAAAATCCAGGTGTAATTCAACAAATAGAAATGGAGTGCAATTTTGACTTGAACAACCCTTCAATTAAAATGCTTCATAGATTCACCAGTGCGACATACATTTCCTTGGTGGCACTGAATTCTGGGTTGACACTTCATTGCTGAGTCTGTTCACTTATTTCTTTACCAATCTTCATTTACAATTTCCGCCCATTCAAACCTTGGCTCTATCACTTCGTATCCGCACAGTTGTCTGAATATATTATACACATCAAACTTTACAATGAAAGGTTTCGTAACATTTCACAGCTTAAGCCCCTTGTCAAGCGTAGGCCTACATCAAACACCATCCACGTATTACACTCTGTAACTTGGTCAGAGTAGGGGAGGGTACATAAATGATTTGGAGTGTCAGCACATACAAAGTTAGAGCTATCAATGGAGTGCCACCTTACTGACACACGGTCAGATGTCCTGTTAGCCAGGAACAGAAAGTCATGGTCAGGTGTGGGCACAAAATAAATGCAAAAGTCTGAGAAATGTGTATGTACATAAGCAGCTATCCTGCCCTTGTTTGCCACTATAAAATACAACATCTCTCTCTAATTCTCTTAGCCAAACTTTTACTTTTCTTCTTCCCGTTTTTCTCTTTGCTGTCCTCCATTTTCCTCGCTCGGATCTCCCTCATCAGGTCAAAGAACACCTGTGAAAAAAACCCACAAAATATAGTTCCTCTGTTTGCTCATAATAAACGGCATATTTAGCGAGGAATGCTAAGCTAGCATACCTTGTCGACATTAGCCCGGGTTTTGGCAGAAGTCTCCACGTAGCACACGCCCCACTGCTCAGCACGTGCCTTCGCCTCCTCTGCGCTAACCTGCCGTCGATCGTCCAAATCTGATTTGTTACCAACCAAGAGGAAGGGCACATTCTCATCCTCCTTCACTCGCAGAATCTGCTCTCTGCAAAAAGAGAAAGGTCAATCAGCCGTGAATTATGTAAAATAAACAGGCTCGCTGAAGAGTATGAGGTCAGATAGTAGAAAATACAGCCTTTAATGTTCCAAAATGCCAAAAGAGCATAGACTGTTTATGTATTTTAGCAGAGGAATGATATATTATGTCGTTAAATTATATTGGATGGAAAACTGCTATGATGTAATATGTGATGCTGCTGGACCTGAAGTCAACTGTTGCTGCAAATGATTCCAGTTCTGTGATGGAAAACACGCAGAGGAAACCCTCGCCGCTGCGGAAGTAGTTATCTCGAATGGCTGCATAGTCTTCTTGTCCAGCTGTGTCCAGGATGTCGATCTGTACCTCCTCTCCGTCCAGCACCACTTTCTTCCTGTAACTGTCTGCTTTGGTGGGCTCATAGTCTTCAACAAACTACAAGGGGGGAAATATAACATGTCATGTCCATTAAAAAAAGAAACGCTTTCTACCTTAACGTATTTGAAATGTACTCGACTGTTGTTGTGCAAGCTGCTCACCTCATCATACATGAACTGGAGTGTGAGGGCTGATTTCCCCACCCCTCCACTGCCCACCATTATCACTTTGTGAAGGGCTAGAGAGTTCTGCCCCTTTGGCTTAGCAGCTGCCATAGCTCTGTCTAGGAGGAGATCCAAGTGTGAAAGGGATGAAGTTCAAGGTGAAGCTGGCGGTGCAGGGAAGTTCCTTGAGGGGAAAAAAAGAGAGAAGAAATCCTTAGATATCTTATCATTTACGAGGCTATAGATAACATGTCTGCAGGTAGATTCCTATACTTCATTGTGTCCCATAGTAATACAATAAGAGCCATTACACTAAATATGTAGTGCAGATGATAATTCTCTTCCACAGTTAAGACTACAGCAAGAAGCACTGTTGTTATAATGACCGATGGAACTAGAAATTAGGGCTGCTCGATTATGGCAAAAAATCATAATCTCGATTATTTGGGTCAATAATTGATATCACGATTATTAAAATCGATTATCCATTTACTTTGAAAACATCCATTTATTGAAAAAATAAAATTTGAACAGTATGTTTTCAACAGTTGATTACCCTGAACTTTAAGTATAATTCAACTGAAAACCAATACAAAAAGAAAAATCATTTTATTTCGATGACGTTGTTTTCGTAATCGTTGCAAGCCAAAATCGTAATTGCGATTAAAATACGATGAATTGAGCGGCCCTACTAGAAACTGCTAAATAAATCAGTATTTAAATACTACCACTTCTCCCTGGGCCTACAGAACCCCTAACCTAGCTATAGGTAATATTTGTGAATCACAAAGACAAAGAAGTCATAGGAACATCATTATTTACTTAAAAATAAAGAATACTGATACAATGTGCAGAAATTATTTGGGTGACCCAAACAAAAATACCTGCATCAACATTAAAGTTTGACACAAACACATCTGACAGAATTTTGAATTATTTATATGCATATTTTGCAACCGACGTTAACATGCTAGATGTCAGACAACCGTAAAATAAATGCAAAAAAACCCCGCTTGTGGCATCCTTTGGGGAAACCCGATGACATATGGATAAGCAAATTTATCTACTACCTCTTGACAAACAGTAGGCAAATTCCACTAGTCGAAGAGAAACCTGTGAAAGCCATTTAGGAAATAAATATAACTTGTTTTAAAGCTTCTGCATAACATCTGGCAGTATTTTCCAAACGTTGACAAGACAGGATGAAATCTGACATAAGCAGAAGCCATTTAGTGGTCAGTATGTCATACTGGACAGTCTATGGGAATACCATGATGTCCAGAAGTCCGTCTTGATGCTTTTCCCCTAACACAGGCCCACCCAGACTTCTGAGAATCAGGGATTCAAATGGGAATATAGCCAATAGGTCATTAATTAAACAAATTACCAAAGGGAGTGTATGCACTTAAAGTCAATATTTACGATGTAGTATAGGAAGCAATATCCTTTACTTCAACCATTTTAAACCCCATAATGTAAACGTTTCTCTTCTACACTTGATAAAACGCCATATGATGTTATGTATCGGTCAACATGCAATATTTTTAATTTTTAATAATAAGTCTTTAGGACACGTTGACAATGAGGACAGTAAGTATATAGGTATAGGACCTCGAAATAGTGATTTACAGTAACGTTTATTACATTTCATCCATTGGCTGTATCATAAACGCTTAAGACATGTATTTAGAATTATGGAACTGGGTAAATAACGTTAATAGCAATGGCACTTCAAAAAAACAAAACAATATTCTATGCTGTCAGCTTAAAAACTGACAATTCTGCCTCATCATTACAACAAAAGATGACTGAAATAATGAATATAAACGCACAATGTGCTAATTATCATGTTAACTAAAGCTGGGGACATGTCAACAGCAGGTAATCAAGCTAGCAGGTACAGTGGGTGATGTGGCTAACAAGCTTACGTCAGCTGGACATGAATTAACATGTGAGGAAGTCGAACATGAAGGTAGCAGCTCAGATAACGCACAAAAGACAAATCATTAAAATCCGATACCTAGCAACAGATGTTTAATCGATCCTCGCTAGCCAGCTACTTTGGCCACACAGTCAAAATGGCTAGCAAGCGATAACAAGCAGCTAATCACAACTGAAATATACAACGTTAAAATAAACGAAGAGCAGACATGACCGCAGCAAGCTTTACAACAGTTGCCTTCTTATGAATAACACCACCTACCTTTAAATAAGACAGTATTCACCTTGGCACGGCGTTTGACAAAGGTTGAATTATGGTGGCAGAACGAGAAGTCTCAGCTAGCTACTTGTTAGCTCATGGCTAGCTCCCTAGCTAACTCCAGAGACTTAGCAGCAGACTGAGTGCACACATCCTGTGAGGCTTGGCTCTGTCTGACAACGCCCGCCCGCATGGGAGAACCAGATACCACTCAGCTTCACTTTGTGTGCCAATGTAACATCAATGTATCACTAACGATGTAACATGTAATGATTAATAATATTATTTCTGAGTTGTTTTAGTGATTTGGTTTCGTGGTATAACATAACAAAAAGATGACCGACAGTGGATGCATGGTAGGCTAATTGAATAATTGGTAATCTACATAAATGCTGGCACGTTTGTTCAAGTAAAAAGCCTCTTTCAAGTCAGAGTAACGCAGGCTTTGAAGTGCCAGGTAATGTTGATTTAAAGTTCCTGTTTTTAATTAGGCCTACAGACCTTTATTATTGATTTCAAACACAAAAAGTAGTCTATTTGTTTGTAACCCAAAGATATACTTTAAAGGTCCCTAAAATTGATTAAAGTCCGTTTGAAATGGTGTGGATGTTGTAGTTTTATGTTTTGATATACTTTTGTTCTGTTTTTGTAGGCAAATGCTTTAGTCATGAAGTCCATAATCTCTGATCTGCACTTGAAATTTGCAGAAAAGACATGGAAAGAAACCTTTCAGCTTGTCCGAAGATGCATGGTAAGAAACTGCAATGAAAAGAAAACTATCTCTGTTTCATTCTCATTTTAGCTTAGGCTACTCCCTTTGTTTAAATTCCACATTGAAAAACTAGAGTTTACAATTCCCTTTGTCCTGGTTATTTAAAAGTGTGCTCTTTTATTAGTTAAAAGCAGAAAAAATAGACGATTGGTTAAACAAGCTATTGTACTTTTTACTAGAGGGCTTATCTAATGTGATGTCTTGTTGGAGATCAGGAACTGGTGTGGCCACGCACTGAGCTCATCTATCCTGAAACACACACGCCTTTGTTGTTTCATAAGTTTGTGCATTGAGGGTTGTTTGGAATCCCTTCAACCACATGGCATGAGTAGGGAGCCTTTTGTAACAAAACAAAAGTTGTTTTTTATGTTTCTATATTTATACTTTACTACTCTTTTACACTTAACAAAAAGTGTTGAAAATGCTTTAAATGTGTTTTGCACTGCTATGCCGACTCGTAAGCCGAGTTTACGAAAGGGTGTGTTTCTCTTTTAGATTTGTCATGGGTGGAGCAGTGGGTCAGATAGTACTTTTGCATTAATACAAAGTGGAGCTTGGCAGTGGTCTGTGTCGTAAAGAAACTTGATTACTTGGTGCACTGAAGTGATGTGTTGACCAAGGTGATAAGGCAGCCAGGCTTAGTCATGCAGTTTTTGCCGGCAGTGATGCTGATGAGGACTTTATAGACCCAGGCCTCTCAGAAAGGACAGTGTCAGTTTTCATTTGACAAACCCAGGCGTGGCAGCCTCCCATGGTGTTTAAAAACATACCCATCCCTAAGTGCAAAGCTTCCAAAAGCCTACATTTTCCTTCGCTGTGGTGTCATGGGAGGGGCTGCGAGCACCAGAGACTGTTACACAAGGACGACTACACAACTGGTTCATTGTTGTGTTTTCTTCCCTTTGTCCCCCAATAGGACAGACCAAAAGATGCCTCCCGACCATGTGTGCCGCTGCTTAGATCCTTGGAACGGCTCCAGGAAGTGGTAAATGGTAAACAAACAATAAACCAATAATTCGGTGTACGATTGTATGACATTCTACCATGTGAGTATGTCTGCCTTTCTATGTTTCAGTGTCCTCTTTGAATACCATGAGGTCTCGTCTGGAAATGATTGCTAAACAACAAGGGTATTTATAGGGCTTTTGATATGTGACTGAAGAGCCCTACAATAACTATTTTATTGGTCTACTTTTTTATCAACAAGCTCATTATATAGCTTAATTCCTCTTGTAATAAAACGTGTTGGCACACATGTTATCCTCCCTAGAATGGGCTTTCACATCACTGAGGCCACATGCTACCTGACAGCCGATATGTTTTACCTGGAGGTGGTGTTGCTGCTGTGTGGCGAGGTGGAGGAGGTCAAAGTGGCCCCACATGGAGGATCCCCTGTTGTAAGTGGAATAGACTGCAAATTACATTATTCCCCTTTACTCTGCATTGTAATAAAATACAATTTTCTTCCAGCCCAGTGAGTCCTTTTTGTGGCTGCTGAGGTAAGTTGACAAAATTAGGTAAATGATGACATTTAGCTTGATGCATAAAGATGTGCCATTGAAATTATTACATAAATAAATAGTTTTTGATGCTGATTGTGCCCTTTTTTTGGGGCACAGGTTAAAACAATTCACTGAGTTTGCCATGAAGTTGGCAGACCTCTTCACCCAGTACAACATCCCTGGAGACAAGTACATCATCTTAACATTTAATTTAGCTGTTAACTTGTAGGCCTTCTTGCACTCATTTAACTCTGCATTTATGTCTTATTTTTCTCAGTGACCAGAAATTAAAATTGTTTGCATCTTTGCAATTCCTTGGAAAGGACTTGGAGCAGATATCACTTTTACCATGGTGAGTAACTAAAAATACCACTACCACAGAGCTTGTTGTTGTGTGATTTTCATTAATTGCTTCACGCAAAAATACCAAATACTTCCTGGCTCCGTTGTTATAGGAATATTAATCATATTTCATGGAAAGCACTAATACAAATTGATATGTGCTTTTAGTGTGCCAATTGACTCTGCCCAAGGTGACATGATTAACAATGGCAGAGTTGGGTGTCTAATTGCTGGAAAAGCAGGTACATTATGCCAACAAAACATAAAACACAAGCTATTCAAAGATATTTTTGTTAATAGACATTTCATTTTTCACTTTAGATTGCCCTCTGTCTATCCAGTTCTATTCCACCCCAACTGATGGAATGAAGACCTCTGATTTACGTAAGATGTTTGCTCCGGTCAATGAAATTGGTTCACTTTATAAACCTATTAAATGTTTGTATGCATTATACTCATTCCTATTTTGAGCGTAAGTATTTAATAGGGCCCACAACACCTCTCCCTTTCACTAAGGCAAATCGTTTTTTTAAGAATTCAAAGCTAACTGAAATGTGTTTTTTTTTTTTTTAAATGCAAATGAGGCAGATAAATATCAAATATTGGCTTACATTTGCACAAATCTTTTTTGTTGTTGTGACATTTGTATAATTTTTGGAGAACAAATGTTATATCTATTTCAATCATTACATACATCTGAAAATACCCTTAACAGATCTATAAGAAAACTATTTTTTCAAATATTTGTAGGTATACATTTTTTTTTTAAATAAATAAGACTGAATGATAAATGAACAAATCCCTCATTGCAAACCTTCAGAACAAAGGTGAGGATGAAACTAGAAAGTCTGGTATATGAAGGTTCTACTGAGGTGGGACATTTCTCGTAAGTGTAAGAGAATAAGATGATAATGCCTTTAAATACATGTAATGAGGAATTCCACACACACAACACTAAAGGGTAACTGGGTTAAAAAAAACAACGTAATAATAGATATTGCCATCAAACATCCCCAGTATATTACCAACATAAAGACAATTATATTGTTTTTTTTTTACATATGCAATTGAGGTATCATGTAATGGTAATTTGGTGAATTTGACAGAAATCTACAGACATGAACAGACCAAATGTAGGTTATTTTGTAAAATCTCTTCTCTTTTTATTTTCAAAGAAGAGGAAGAAATGACTGATAGAGAGATGGTGGTGCAGGCTGCAATGGTGACAGTTGATGTCAGTGATGTGCCTCACAAGCTTCAGACAGCCTCTGTGATCCAACAGCCTCCACAGCTGGATCCCCAGGGGTAACATGTTGCTGTTTAATCGCTCACTCAACAGGATATGTTTCATTTTACACCCCACTGTGAATGTGAATGCCAATGCTGGTTTTATGCTCCTCTGTGGCAGTTATCCTGTGTTACTGCCATTAAGTGAGATGCTGCCTGCCTGCTTTCACCTCAAACTGCAGCCAGCAATACCAATGATGTGTTCTTTTGTCGACAAGCTCAGACAAATAACAGGTTAGTTTGAAATATTACACTTTTAGAATGATCTATTAGGATGTATCAGCCCATCCCATGCTCTCTTGTTCCCCCTCTATATTTCATAGGTGTGGTCATACCAGATGTTGACCTGCAGTGGGCAGCCTTACCCAAGCTTCTTATGAGTAGTTCACCAAGTGCAAAAATCCACATGGAGACATTAGATGAGCAGGATGCTATTTTTACAGCGGTTTGTATGATCAAATTTGTGTTTGCTTAAAGTGAAAGGTAACTGGGTTCATATAAGCTACATTATTATGCAGGCTTTAACATTTGCTCTCTATTACATGGAGAGGTGGGAAGTAGTGGAGTACAAATACTTAGTTACTGTACCTAAGTACAATTTTCTGGTATCAGTACTTTACTCCACAACTTATTTTTCTGACGACTTTTTACTTTTACTTCTTACATTTTTAACACAAATACCTGTACTTTCTACTTCTTACATTTTCAAAACAGCTTTGTTACATTAGTTTTAATCTGTGTTTGGTGGCGGGATCATTATTAGTTAGAGTCAGTGCCTGCCTATTGATTTGAACACGATCCGTGTATCCATAATTTCCTGGTCTTCTCTAAAGAAGAGGGACCAATGAAAACTTTGTAATTTTGCCGTTGTTCAGCATCAAAACATTCATTAGCTAACAATGACATTATTGTTAATATAAAGGGAGGTCAGTTACTCTTTAAAACTGTTGGTAGTTATGGGTACATTTTACTTAAGTACATTTCTAAGCCCATACTTCTTTACTTTTACTTGAGTTAAGAAGTTTAGTCAGTACTTTTACCAGAGTATTTTAAACACAAGTTACTGTACTTCTAAAGGATGTGGGTACTTTTGCCATCTCTGATTACATGAAGGGAATCAATTCTGTTTCTGTCCAGCCTCTTCCTGGTAGTGTGATGCACAGTTATATCCTCCCTGGAGCAGCATGGGAGGTGCCCGCCCAAAGAGGGGCTGTGGTGGACAGTATCCCCTTCACCCACCCTGCCCATGTACCAGCCCTACTGGAGCTGCTTCGACATCAGTGTGTCATCAACACCCTGCTGAGGAGCTGTATGACTTCTCAGTGTACCGGAACAGGTAACACAAAGTTTGGTTGGTATTGGTTAATAAAAACACCAACAACAATTAAAAGGGGAAGAAATGAATGGGCGGGACCAGTCATCGACAAGTTAAAGGTCACCTATTATGCAAAACCAACTTTTTCATGTCTCTTATACATAAACATGTGTCCCCTCTGTGTAAAGAGTTTCAGGAAAAAAAGATTTGTTCATTGTTTGTCCTGCTCCATTTATATAAAAACCTGTCTGAAAATGAGCTTTATGATGTCATAACGATTTTTTGGCTTGTGTAACCATTAGCCAATAACCAACCAAGGTAACCCCCTCCCACCGTATCACCTGAATCTCCCCCTAGATCAACATTGTGTTCTTTTTAAACAAATATCTCTCCTTATTTTCATCTAAAGCAACAGACACATAATATTGAAACAGGGCTGAAACAGAGGGGTTTATGGGATGCTACAAGGCATGATCTGTTTGGTATTTCGAGCCAAACACTTCAGAGACATGTTTTGTATATCTGAGATTTATAATGTATTAATGAAAAACAGTATAATAGGCGACCTTTAAAAGCAGATTTACATTTTTGTGAGGTTTTTGAAAGTGGGGAGTGGGGTTGAATGTCTGAGTTGTGAGCTCTAGGGGGAGGGGGCAGCAATGGAGAAGGCCCTGTCCTCCCACTAGCCCAGTGCTTGGACCGGATTAGGAGGATGAATACTTCTGTCTGAGGTTTAAAAGTAAGAATATGAGGTCAGTGCGGTAAAAGAGATCGAAATTGCGGAGTGCTTTGAAGGGGACGAGTAATGGATTTGGTAAAGACATAGAACTGGGTGTCATCAGCATAATGGTGGAAATGCATCTATGGTGAGGTACGTTGTGATAAATGAGAAGCGTGTAGAAGGTAAAGAGGTTAGAGTGAGATATGTGATGGTTTAATAATGGATTTTCCCCTTAGGTTCGGAGTGTGACCAACACTTTGAAGTGCGTCCTGAGTCTGACATCAGCTTTTCTGTGACCTTCCAGGGACCTCACACTGACTCCCTCGTTGTTTGTGAGCATTTCATTATCTACGTCAACGTTGAATTTTTCTGCAAAAGTGTATGCCTTGTGTGACTTTTTTTGTATTTCTTCGTTTGACACAGTGCTGGTGCATGTATCCGATTCTCATCAGATTACCTGCACTTTGTTTGGGGCAGAAATAGGGGATCCGTCTATGGTTGAAAACCTCTCAACTATTATGAAGAAGTGTGTATTCAAAAGTTATATCCCTTACTTTACTGATGTTAGATGATGATGATGATGCCTTCTTAATAGATTGCCCATCTTACATGCAGTAATTTAACATTTCTTGATAGAACACAAGATACAAATGCCAATGAACTTTGCTTTTCTTTGAATTGTGTCTCAGGTCCATGTCCATCCCTCTGGCCTTGAGGACATTATACCTCAAACTGGAGGAGATCACCCCTGCCCCAATTTCTGCCAGCCCTGAGGCCACCACAGAGGCTGAAAATGACCAATCAGCTTCCACAACTACCGCTGCGACCGACACCAATGGTGCGTTGACCACGTTCTCCCAGAATGCAGCTCTGCCAGAAGACGACTTCAGCCTTTCTGGTTCGGCCTGCTATGCCAACTCTGACAAATCTGAGCTCCTTCCTGAAATAAACACCAGTCCTGCTGTCAGCCCTTACCCTTTCGCTCCTGGGGGGGGTGTTTTTACACTGGATGACCCATAATGGCCACCTGTCAGAGCTGATCTGAAACTATGTTTACAAGTGGTGACATTACGTTTTTTTTAATTTGTCGTTTCAAGACTTAAATAAATACATTGGTTAAGCAAATGTTGCTGCAGAAAGCTAAAGTGTTTCTTACTTTGCATTCCAGTGTGGCAGAGATTGTTGCCTGTAAAGGTTTTGAAGTTTGGCATTTGACCTTTCTCAGACAGCCAAGAGCCCAGCTGATTGGTACCATGTGAGCCAATCAAACATTGTAAAATTGCATTCTTAAAGGCTCGTTAGAGTAAAGAGATCAACACCAGAGTGAAAAGATCAACACCGTAAACATTAAAGTCAGGAATGTCTCTTCTGCAAGCAAAAATAATGGCAAGGGGAAGGGTCTGATTGTGATCAGCATAAAATATTACAGATGTGCGATGACTTTAATCGCGCTCCTAGACCCGTTATCCCATTTATTTTCTTTTTTAATGGTGTTATCCCAATTTTGAGTAAAAAGTGTAGTAATTCAATACCTTTTGTGGAATGGAAACTTCTTCGTCTTGCAGCCATGACATCTTTCCTAATGCAAAAATACTTTTAAAGAATAACAAATGTGCAGTTTTATGTACTGTAGCTTTTACCTTTTCCATGATTTAGCCTCAGACTAAAACTATATATATATACACCTTTTTTATCTAAGTTTGTGTAGAGTTTAACTTAATCTATATTCCATTTAGAAGTCTTGTATGTATGATATGTCCTGCTTTTATAGTGATTAAAGATGTGCAATGTTTATATCCCTAATAGTAAATTGATAGTGATATGTGGTGGACATATTTTAAATGGTTGATAAAATGATTTCAACTGTAAAGAATAACATTTAAAGTTCAAACTAACTCTTTAACTTTAACTCTTACAGCACTTCACTATAGATATTTACCCATATTTCTATTCAATCTTTTACTTGTACCTGTTTAGCTGCAGCTAAAGGCCTTTTACATTGTGCTGCAAATGTTACTAGAGAATAGAAGTCACCATAGCCACAAATACAACGTTATCCTTTATAGATCTGCATACTGTGTGCATTTAGAATGGAATTTCCACTTCTATCTAGAATATTAAGTCACCTGTCATCAGTAGACAACTGGCTTTGTCCGCCGACTTTACTTCTAGATATCCAATGACCTGGATGAATGCTATTCATAGGCACATTCCCACATGTGTGGTTAAACCATTCTCTTCTGTCAGCAGGCCTATATCCTCAGAATATTTAGGAGATTATATGACCTCAATTCTGATTGGCTGAGTGTGAAGCTCTTCAAATCACACCTGTGATGACATAAGACTTAAATATTAATGAGGTATAAGGGCAAATAATTGAATGGGATTGTTGAATGATTCCATTAGGTCAGCCATAGACTATGGTTGTGTTATTCCAGTGGGGGAAAGTATATTTACTCCAGTACTGTACTTACGTAAGTACAATTACGATACTACTTTACTATTTCATTGTTCTGCTTTTTTATTCTCCTACTCCACTTCCTTAGAAAATGTTTTATATATTTATCTATTCATTTTGATCACTGGTTTCCTTGAAGAACAAAATTGACAAACAATTATGTTTATAGTTTAAGATAAATCTATATTTTATTCTGAAATGAAGCATTTGGCATAATTTGGAATTGTTGTATATTCCATAGGAATCCCGAACCCAATAAAATACCCAATATTAGCGGTGTGTGTGTCTGCCCAAGGACAATTTAAGGTAAAACCTAATAGAGGTGTCATACATAATAACCTAATAAAAGTAAATGTAACAACTACTACAGTGCAACAAAACAGGAAGATTAAATGTGGTCTCTTAAACATAAGATCTCTAGCATCTAAAGCAATATTGGTAAATGATTTAATATCAGATTATAATATTGATATATGCTGTCTCACTGAAACTTGGTTGAGACATGAAGAATATGTCAGCATAAATGAGGCCACTCCACCCAGCCATATCAATACTCATATTGCCCGAGGCACGGGCCGAGGAGGTGGAGTTGCAGCAATCTTTGACTCAAGTTTACTTATCAATACTAAACCAAAATTAAATTATACCTCCTTTGAAAGTCTCGTTTTTAGTCTTACGCATCCGACCTGGAAAACTTTGCAGCCAATCTTATTTGTTACAGTGTACCGTGCACCAGGTCCTTATTCAGAATTCTTATCTGAATTCTCTGAGTTTTTATCAACTTTGGTACTTAAAACAGATAAAGTCATTATTGTAGGTGACTTTAATATTCATGTTGACGACGATAAAAATAGCTTTACTGTTGCATTTAACTCTATATTAGATTCTGTTGGTTTTTGTCAGAGTGTAAATAAACCAACCCACTGCTATAATCACACTCTCGACCTTGTTCTGACTTATGGTATTGAAATTGAGCAACTATTAGTCGAACCGCATAATCCTGCTTTATCCGACCATTTCTTAGTAACTTTTGAAGTACTGTTACGAGACTACAAAGCATTAGTCAAAAGCTCCTGCAGCAGAAACCTATCTGTTAGTGCTATAGCCAAATTTAAGGAAGAGATTCCACCAATACTTAACTCGATAGCATGTCTGCATGTAGGGGAGGAAACTTATACAAAATGTACACCACCCCAAATTGATCATGTTGTTGATAGTGCTACAGATGCGCTGCGAATACAATTAGACTCTGTTGCTCCTTTGAAAAAGAAGAAAATAAAACAACATAGATTAGCTCCATGGCATAATGCCGAAACCCGCAAAATAAAGCAAAAGTCGAGACAACTTCAAAGGATATGGCGTTCCACTAAACTTGAAGAATCTCGTTTAATTTGGCATATTACTCTCAATGAATATAAGAAAGCACTGCGTAAAGCGAGAGCAGCCTACTACTCTTCATTAATAGATGAGAATAAGAATAATGCAAGATTTCTTTTCAGCACTGTAGCCAGGCTGACAGAGAGCCATAGCTCGATTGAGCCTTCTATTCCCATAGCACTCAGTAGTAATGATTTGATGTGCTTTTTTAACGATAAAATTGTTACTCTTAGAAACAAAATTAATGACCTCTTGCCTTTGACCAGTATAGTGTTATCAACGGCTCCCGGAAGCGTGAGTTATAATATTACACTAGATAGTAAACTAGAATGCTTTTCAGCCATAAACCTTGAACAATTAAATTCAATGATTCTCTCTTCTAAACCATCAACGACCCAATTCCAACTAAGCTGTTGAAGGAAGTTTTTCCATTAATTAGCACTTCTTTATTAAATATTATGAATATGTCTTTATTATCAGGCTATGTTCCACAATCATTCAAAGTAGCAGTGATAAAACCGCTTCTTAAAAAGCACAACCTCGATCCAGAGGTTTTAGCCAATTATAGACCTATTTCTAATCTTCCGTTCCTCTCAAAAATTATTGAGAAAGCAGTCGCAAAACAGCTGTGTGATTACTTAAAAAACAATGATTTATTTGAAGATTTTCAGTCTGGCTTTAGAACACATCATAGCACAGAGACAGCTCTGGTTAAAGTCACAAATGACATTCTAATAGCCTCTGACAAGGGACTTGTCTCTATTCTTGTTTTGCTCGATCTCAGTGCTGCATTTGATACTATCGACCATGATATCTTATTGCAAAGACGAGAGCACTTAGTTGGCATACAGGGAACTGCTTTAGGCTGGTTTAGGTCCTATATATCTGAACGCTCTCAGTTTGTACGTGTCAATGATGAATCTTCCACGCAAACCAAAGTTAGCCATGGAGTGCCACAGGGCTCAGTGCTCGGACCTATTTTGTTCACATTATATATGCTTCCGTTAGGCAATATTATAAGGAATCATTCTGTAAACTTTCATTGTTATGCGGATGATACTCAACTATATTTATCAATCAAGCCTAAATAAAATTCAAGACTGCCTCAAGGACTTAAAAACGTGGATGACCTTAAACTTTTTGATGTTAAACACGACCAAAACTGAAGTTATTGTACTTGGCCCGAAGAATCTACGAAACAAATTATCTAAAGATATACTAACTATGGATGGCATTAATTTGGCCTCCAGTGAGACTGTAAGGAATCTTGGTGTTATATTTGATCAGGATTTATCCTTTAACGCCCACATAAAATCAATTTCAAGGACCGCCTACTTCCATCTACGTAACATTGCAAAAATCAGGCATATCTTGCCTCAAAACGATGCAGAGAAACTAGTCCATGCATTTGTTACTTCAAGGCTGGATTATTGTAACTCTTTATTATCAGGGTGTACCAAGAAGTCAGTCAAGTCGCTTCAGCTGATTCAAAATGCTGCAGCTCGTGTACTAACCAGAGTTAGGAAAAGGGACCACATTACTCCTGTTCTGTTCTGGCTGCCTTACACAGGCTCCCTATAGAACACAGGATAGAATTTAAAATTATTCTTTTCGCCTACAAAGCCCTTAATGGGCAGGCGCCATCTTACCTTAAAGAACTCATTATACCCTACTGTCCTACTAGGGCATTGCGTTCCAAGAATGCAGGGTTGTTGGTTGTTCCTAGAGTCTCTAAAAGTACAATGAGAGCCAGAGCCTTTTCTTATCAAGCTCCACATTTGTGGAATCAGCTTCCAGTTTGTGTTCGGGCGGCAGACACCCTATCCATTTTTAAGAGTGCGCTTAAGACCTTCCTTTTTGATAAAGCTTATAGTTAGGGCTGATTAGATTCAGCCCCTAGTTTTGCTGATATAGGCTTAGTTTGTCGGGGGACATCTTACTTCTTCCTTCTCTCTGTCTATACCTGTGTACTCTCATGTTCCGATTAACCCAGCTTCCCCAAATGTCTTTCTTTTTTGTGTATATATACGCTGGGATCCGGAGTCATGGATGATCCTACGGTCCTGTGTCCTGCATCGCGAGCCCTGGATCTTGAGTCGTGGCTGTGGTCCTGGATCATAGGTCCTGGATGGATATCCTCGTGGATTCATCTTCCTATTATACACACAAGCATTTCCAAACATTTGGACTACCTATGTTGCAAATGTATTATCTTTTCAATTTACACACGGCATCTATTGCACGTCTGTCCGTCCTGGGAGAGGGATCCCTCCTCTGTTGCTCTCCCTGAGGTTTCTCCCATTTTCCCCTTTAAAACTGTGGGTTTTCTTCGGAAGTTTTTCCTTGTACGATGTGAGGGTCTAAGGACAGAGGGTGTCGTATTGTCATACTGATATTTTTGTACAAATTGTGAAGTCCACTGAGACAAATGTAACATTTGTGATATTGGGCTATATAAATAAACATTGATTGATTGATTGATTGTAGTTGAAGGTATAATTTGATATGAATAATTTTGCAGTTTTCCTCAAGTAATTGAGATGGGACTTTTTGTTTGTTACAATGATACTATACAAAAACGTATTACTCCACATTTTGTATTGAAAAACTTCGATTACTAGTTACTCTGAAGATTCAGATTAATAATACACAGTGGATTAGCAAACAAATCTTATTATAGGTTACAATGCAAATTGATTCAGTCATTTACTCTGATATTAGCTATTGTGGAATGGATTATTTTACTTTTGGCACTAAAATGAGTTTTTGATGATACACGTAAGTAGCCTACCTTTACTCAAGTAATTGGAATTCAGAACTT